ATAATGTTTAGTGATGAGAACTTTAATTTATATGGCCCTGATGGGTTTTCATATTATTGGCATGATTTAAGAGAAAGCAGATTTAAAATAAGCCATGGGTCTATAATAATTTGGGATAGTTTTGGAGGTAAATAGGATGGATTGGAAGGTAAAACTAATTTAGTATTTGTTGACAAAAATATGATTACATTTGGTGGTTTAATTAGAGGTCATAAATGGTAGTTTCAACAAGATAATGCTCCCATTCATGTCCTAATGTCAACAAAAAATTGATTTAAAAAAGAAAATATTGATGTAATATTAACTGGCCTTCATGTTGTCCAGATTTAGATCCCATTGGAAATTTATGGTGGATTTTAGCAGCCATTGTTTATCAAAATGGGAAACAATATGAATCTGTAAATCAATTGAAAATTGCAATAATGGATACATGGGATGAAATTAAGAATGAAATTAAAGAAGTAATAAACTCTATGCTAACAGAATTTGTGTTCTTACACTTTTGTAACATACTATATATCTGGAAGGCAAGATGGTCGTCTACTACCTTCTCATAATACTGTAGAAGTAAACTTGTTCTTTCTCGGCATCTTCTACAGTCGACGGTGTAAAACGTCCTTAAATTTTCCGCTATATTTTTCCAAGCATCTTTCGGATTGTCATATGCATACGGATTTATCGCCACTACTTCTCTTAATAGAAGTATGTCGTGGAAACAAGAAAACCGCATTTGGACTTTCCTGTTCTTCGGAGTTAACACGACGCTAATTATAGTAAAAAAATAATTATTTAGGGTTATTAAACATCATATAAATACTTTAAAACAGTTTAATTTGTTTATTTACCTTTCCTCATATTCCACAGTGCAAAATGCTTCCGCCATTTTTTTCAACTTTTTTCCCGTGAGTCAATGCGCGATGTTCATTGAGTCACGTGATGTTATGAACGGGTGCCTGTACGATTTTTACTTGGATTTGAAACGTGTAACGTGTACTTCTGCTACCCGTACACGTTTAATGTTTGAACTTGCGCCTCAACCTCTCTATTGTTACCACCTGTTCGGTTTTCACCCGGACAGTCCGGGAATTTCGTAGAAATTGTGAAATTGCGAAATTGCGATGAAACAAAGTTCTCGCAAATATGTTTACAAATTTACACTATTTTAACAGTTAACGAACTCACACTCATTGAAACTCATCCGCAACTCTGCCATGTTAGTCTGTTTACGCCGACTTATGGCGCGCAACCTGTCGACTTTGAGGCCGGATGGCCAACGGTCAAGGTGGCAGCCTACCGCTCTGGGGGACCCGGGATCGAATCCGGACGGGTCAAGGAATCCCTAGGAATTTTTCGGGGGGTGGTCTGTTCGGATATGTCAGGCCCCGTCCCTCACCACCCGGACGCCCCATTGTGGGCCTGGCCGAACCCATAATGGGCCTGCTATAAAAGGCTCTCTTAGTGCCCACAGGGCGGAAATAGTAAAAAAAAACCCTGTCGACTTTTTTTTTTTGCATGTACGATCGTACACGTATCAAATAGAGCTAAGTTATCTGTACCTGTTCTTTCTTAATTTAGGTTACTTACGTTACTCCTACGCAAGTCCCTAGTCCCTANACTGGTGAGCCGAACGTGATCCGACAACGTGGGAGCTCAACACCGAACCTTCCCAAGCCCAGACGCCATTTACGGAAATACAGGTAGGCCTCTTTTTCTCTTCCACGCCGGTCAAGCAGCCGAACAAAGATGGCAGAGCCCGAACCCACCGCAGAAGTGAACAGAGTGGCCCTCAAACTACCTCCGTTTTGGGACAAGACTCCAGAGTTGTGGTTCGCTAATATAGAGGCCCAGTTTGCCATTTCGGGCATCACAAAGGACAGTACCAAGTACTACTCTGTCGTGTCTGCTCTCAACTCCGATGTTTTGAACTACGTAAGCGACATCGTCCTCAACCCACCGGCCGAAAACCGTTATAATACGCTTAAGGCCAGACTGCTCGCCGATTTCTCAGACTCGGAACAAAGGAGAATCAAAGCGCTACTCTCGGATATCGCGTTGGGAGACGAAAAGCCATCACATGTATTAAGAAAAATGAGGCAGTTAGCCAACAATAAATTAGGGGAAGACTTTCTAAAAACCTTATGGCTACAACGACTGCCGCAACAGACCCAGGCGATCCTGGCAGCCTCCGACGACGGGTTAGAAAACTTGGCCATCATGGCCGACAAAATAGGAGAGGTAACGCACGCGAACGTCGACGAAGTCCAAAAAGGCCCCGATAATACACAAGCCCAGTTAAGCGAGCTCCAGGCACAAATAGAATCCCTTAGTCAGAGAATCGAACGATTAGCTCGGNTTTTTTTTTTTTTTTTTAAGCATCAGAATTTTTCATTGAGCTATTCGGACTTGAGTAGATAATATTAGAAGATTAATCGTGGGCCACATAAATTCATTGCACAAGCCGTATATTGGCCATGTCTGGTATAGCCACTGTATATGTTAGGGGGGCATGGGAATTTTAGAAAGGCTTAGGTGGGGCATAACACAAAAAAGATTGGGAAACACTGTATTAGACACTATATACATATTTTTAAACGAATATTACAATATTCAAATATAATTAGCAATGAATGAATTTTTTCCAGCGAATAGACAACATCCGGAAGTACTTTCTGAAGAATGCAAACACTTGGTGTCTGCATTTTTTTAATCTTTCTACAACAATTTTTCTATACAGATCGTTGAATATTCTCTTGCAGTTAGTTAGCATTTAATATTTTACTTTTATCTAAACACATTTGATCGAAATTTATCTATATATCAAAAAGTTTCATTTTCAANAGTTTTTTTTTTTTTAAATTGTTTGAGTTTATCTTGATTGAACATCGATGTTCCAATGGGCATCGATCAAACATCGATGTGAAATCCGACATCGAAATTTAGCATCGATGCTTAGTCAAATATCGATGTTTGACATCGATGTTAAAATTATAGACATCGCACAGCACTGCCTACAACGTAATTTTCGGTTAGCGTGGAACGTATCTAAGCGTTATAGGGGGGGTGTACTGTATTGTATTAAATCTGTCTTATAAAATCACGGCGACTCCCATAAATCGAGTTATCTGATAAGAATAAAATACAATACCAATATAGCCCTATGGTTGAAAAAATTCGCTTATTTTTGCTCACCGCGAGTTTTGCTTAGTAGAAATGGCTAAAAAGTGCGCAAAATACGTAAGGAAATACGGTATTACGGCACCACCTTTATTGGACGACCACCTGTCTAAAAGACCACTTTTTGAAGGAACCGTGGGTGGTCGCCATAGACAGGTTTTACTGTATATATATAACCCATACAACGGGTATTGTCTGTTCGCGTAACGGATGCCAAAAACGGTCACTAGAGGCGCCCTAGCGAAGATTTTAAATTAACAATAAATTATATTTATTTGTAACAGGAATTTATTATTTATACCACGGAATGGTATAAATAATTATTATGTGCCTTGCCTTGCCTTATTATATGACTCGATTAACTTGCGCCGCACGTTTACATCCCGTGACTCACAAGTCAGTGAACGTCGCGCATTGACTCACGGGAAATTTGTTGAAAAAATGGCGGATACATTTAAAATCGAGGTTTACAAGCGAAGGTAAATAAACAAATTAAACTATTTTAAAGTATTTATAGAATGTTTAATAGATAGAAATATAGATCCATATGACGCTATTGGGACGGTAAGATTTACTCTCCGAATAAAGGGGGTGGCAATCACCCTTTGTGCGAACAATAAATGTCTAATGAATCATACCCCTACGCGCGACCCTTCCCGAGATATAGCCCTCCGAAAATTATTCTACGGGTCACGTGACAGTCTGTTTGCCACAATTTACCCTGCGAATGAGCGAATCGGGGACCCCCCCGAGTGTGGGCGAGCGCGCGTTAATTTTTTTTCGCGCGGCATGATCGCGTTTGACCACGATGTCACGTGACCGGAAATGACGTAGGCGAATTTTCACGGGCTTATATCTCGCGAAGGGTCGCGAGTAAGGGTATGGTTCCTTTGACTTTATTGTTCGCACAGGGGGCTACAGTTTGGAGGGTTGCCACCCCTTCATTCGGAGGGTAAATCTAACCATTGGGACTTTAACGGAACTGTACAGCATATACTTAGGAACAAAAAAGTCAAAGGAACCGTGCCTCATGGAAATTTGTAAAGAATGCCCACTAGGGGCGTCCCGGGCTACTAGTCTCTTATAAATCCTTAAGGGTGACATAAATATCGGTGTTAATAAGTCTACGAATGTAGTGAAATATTTAGGAAATAATTTGATGGTAAATATTATTTAATTAAAAGCAAAAATTATCTATATATATAACCCATTCAACATGTATCCGTCCTTCCTTCCGTCCGTCCGTCCCGTAACCGTTTGATAACGGACACTAGAGGCGCCCCTATCGTGTGTCATATTTAAAACATTCAAATTAAATTANTGAATATTCTCTTGCAGTTAGTTAGCATTTAATATTTTACTTTTATCTAAACACATTTGATCGAAATTTATCTATATATCAAAAAGTTTCATTTTCAAAAAAAGCGTTAATAAAGATTTAAAATGATCAGTATTATTTTCTGAGTTTATAATGTCCAGTGATATGTTTTGGACAAACTGCACTTCTCTGGAGCCTCAGAGTGTAAAGTTACAATATACATTTTCCCTTCGTGACTAACTGCGGGGGTGGTGTGGTTCAGGTAATATCGGACAAAGTTCGTTTATATATTCCTACTTCTAATAGTGAATATTTGACTTTTTACATAATTTTTTAATGCTTTTTACAATAATAGATTATATAGTAACTGATTAATTAAGATTTTTCATGCGATTACGCAACATCCGAAAGTAACGATTCTTTCGGTAAATTTTTCGACTGGAAGCTTTTGATAAAAAATATTCTGGTCTAAGAAAAATCAAATAACATAATAACTAGTAAATTATAGCTACAAAATAAAGAAAACAGCTATTTTTAAAGCAATTATTTACATTATGTCTCTAATTACTGTAATTGGAGGGGAATGGATGAGTCATCTGTAGGTCGAAGTTAACACAAGTTTCCTTCCAGATAATGTATACTATATATTATTTTTATGTTATTTCGACTATTTATACAATATTTGACTGTACAAGTCGACCCCCTATAATACTGTTGATAATTCCGTTTTATATGAATTCTATGTTGTACGAGTCACTTAGATTTTACAAATACGTGTGCCGGGCTGTGAACGGCTCATGTATTAGTAAAATCTAAGTGACTCGTACAACATAGAATTTATATAAAACTGAATTGAAAAGCGCGCGTTTAACGCATTGAAAAACGCCTAGTGTGTACAGGCTCTAAATGCATCATTTAAAATTTGAGAAGAATTATAGAATGCTCTTGATAGTCATATCGTTTGTTTCTTCTGGCTTATTACATTTTTTTCCAATTTGCACATACATTTAAAAGACTATTTCTAGGTCAAAATAAGATATCTTTTATAACTATTCATAATATAAACATTTTGTTTCCTTATATGTTACCTTTAATTACAGCTGCAAACTGTAACACATGGAGCATGCAAAAAAATATCATTATATCGATTATTACTTTTTTATATATATCTGTACTATAATTAGAAAATTGATATTATCTTGCATTTCAAATTATCAAGTGGTGGATTAACTGACTTTTACTGTATTCTTACTTATTTAATAGAAACCAGAAAAGGATAAGTCGTTTCAATGTAATGTATGTCATAAACGATTTCATTCGCAATCAAGATTGAAGTATCATAAACTTCAACACTGCGAAAATAAATCATATAAATGTCCATTTTGTACTAGTGTTTATAAGCATGAAAATTCGCTGAATTTCCATATTCATAGCGTACATTGCTTAGAATTGGTAGGTAATAACGTTAGTTAATGAAAATATTTAAAATTTTATTAAATACTCTAAATTTTATAAAACTTTATTAACCTTCCTGCAGGAAAGCAACGATAAAAGTAGAGTAAGTAACAANAAATTATTATTTGGTCAATATAACAATATAAATAATTCATTATATTTGTAATAGGAATTTATTATTGTCACGGAATGCCTGTAATGTTCACTAGGGGACGAATAACGAAAAACCGGATAGATTTGAACCGCTACGATAAAACGATAGGGTTTGAAATAGTTAAGCTAATTTTTTAATATAATAATATAAAGCTTTCATGGCAAGACCAAAGAAACAGTTGTATACATTTATATATATTAAGTACATCAAACTTAAAAATTAAGCACACACAACTTTCATATATTAAGTGCATTAAACATATAGGAATTTGTAATACTGCTAAAACGCCCACTAGGGGGCGTCCCGGGCTACTAGTGTATAATAAACCGCTATAGAATACGTTCCATACTCACAGTTCTATTGTTTTATATCATTACCAACCATTTCCGTATTAATTATTATGGTAATTTTACTTACTCGTTTGAGATTCCAGCTTATTAACTTAGAACGTCTGTAAATGTATCTTTCCCTTTCAGATTAGGTGTGTTGTGGTATAGTCTATTAACATGTTGGTGTCCCCACCGGCTTCACCAAATGTGACACTGAGGCAGCCACGACGAACAACATCATAGTGGCTATAGAAAAGCTGGACTCTTCAAAATTGGCGCCGTGGCAAAAGATAGACGCCATAAATACCTTCGTTATGCCCAAACTTGCCTTTTGTCTCACAGCTGGCACGACGCCGAAAAAGACACTTGATAAAATCGACCGCATTACCAAACGTTGCGTGAAACGCTGGCTGGGGCTTCCTCAAAGGGCTAGCACTGAAATCGTGCATCTCCCTTACAAGCAGGGGGGTACTAACATTACCCCCACCAGCCACTTGGCAGATATCGCCCAAATCTGTCACGCTTCTTATCTCTTCCACTCCAGAGACCCTGATATTGTCAACATCTCTCGTGGCGCACTCGAAGAAGTAGTAAGCTTCAGAATCGGCAGGGCAGCCGACGCCGACGACCTATGCCGCTACTTGGACGGCTCCATGGAGGAAGAATTCGGCCGCCCAAGTAAAGACATAACCTCAGTCTGGACCAGGTTGCGCATGGCAACCAGGCGCCTCAAAAAACGAATTAACATCCACTGGACAGTCGGTCCAGACAATCTGCCCGTCATCTCCACTGGGGACAATCTAATAAACGCCCAAAACTGCCAGCGCACTCTCTGTGGCCTCCTTAAAGAACATTATCATCATAGTCTAACCTCCAAACCTGATCAAGGAAAGGCCTACAAAGTCACCACCACTAGCGAAGTGAGCAACCACTTCATGAACAATGGCCATTACACCCGGTTCTCGGACTGGTTCTTTATCCACCGAGCCCGGATGAGCACGGTTGCACTTCGTGGTCACAAGCGCTTTGGCAGCGACACAAAGAGGTGTCGTCGTTGCGGTTACCAGCGGGAGACTCTTGCGCATGTACTCTGCCACTGCCCGCCAAACTTCCACCTCATCACACGGAGACATAATGCGATTCTCAACCGCATTGTATCGGCGTTCAGACCCAGAGATGCAAAAGTATATGTCAATCAGCGTGTCCCCGGCTTTAATGAAAACTGCCGCCCAGATATGGTCGTCGTCCACGATGCCTCTAAATCTGCCACCATCGTGGACGTCACAGTACCATTTGAAAACGGAGCCGACGCCTTCCAGACAGCCCGGGATGAAAAGCTACGCAAGTATAGTTCCCTTGCCCAACACTTCCGACAACTAGGATACAACACCCATATCAGCGCATTCGTCATAGGCGCCTTGGGAGGGTACGACTACACCAATGAAGCCACCCTCCAGCGCCTGGGGATCCACCGCAACTACTCCAAGCTGATGAAGAAGCTGATGATAAGTGACACCATCAGATGGAGTAACGATATCAACAGACATCATCTAAACCCACATGGACGTCCACCACGTCAACAGTCTACCTTACCATCAGGTAACCTCTAAAATGTCTATACTTGGCCCAAGTGCCCATGTACACATCTCTCTATGTAATACACGTAGCTGGCACACGAGCCCATGTACGCGCATACTCCAGTACCTTTGTATATATTGTCTTTTTCGGCAGGCATACGAGCCCATGTAACGCGCTCTCTACTCCTGATTGTAACCCGCGTGGCTGGCATGAGTGCCCATGTACGCGCTTTTATTGTACTGTATATGCACATATCCTCTTGTATATACTCGGCTGGCATACGAGCCCATGTTCGCGTGCACTATAATCATATACTTGGCAATACGTAAGCCCATGTCGCGCTTGCACATTAGTTATTATGCCTCTCATTTTCCTTGATGTAAATACTCGAATTATAAATAAAGGCTTTTTAAATCTGTTATAAAATTCATTCTATTAGTGTAGATGCGTATATTTAGATTCTCTTCTGAGATATTATAAGGATATTACAGTATATATTTTACTGCTTCTTTGTAGATACAAATATTCTATACCGCATCTGTCATAAATACCACCATAAAATTATAGGTTTCGGGATATAAATACATTCGCGATTCCTTATAGCAAAGAATTTTGCTAGAGAATACAGAAAGCTTATTGATGTGCGCAGCCATCTTAAATGTTGATGAATACATAGGCATAAAAATGTTATAGTTTCAGTTATTGAAACAATAATGGGAGACCTTGAAGCGAATCCGGTGAGGAACACCTTTAAATTTTCACATGTATTTAAAATTTCAGTAAACAATAACCTGTACTAAAGTGCAAATAACGTTATAAAAGTAATCAGAACAAATTAATAGACATTTTTAAAAATACATAGACATAGCTTAAATTACACGTTCGAATAATGTGGCATTATCAGATGTCAAAGGTCGCATAGAATATTCAAGCTTTCTGAGATTTCAAATGTTTTAAATAACGTTTATGATCTCATTGGAATATATTAATTCATTATTTGTAACAAGTTTGCTTCCGTTTAAACGAATCATAAGTAAAACAAACATACCTTTATAATATAGAATTAAATAAGAAAATTTATCATAATTTTTTTTATTTCTCTTGCACTTTTTAACTACGACTACATAATAATATATTATTTTAACAATTCTTCATTCGTATTCGGAAGATCCGAAAACTCTTCGTCAGATCGCCTCCGGTCACCACTTTTACATAGTAACAGGAAACTGTCCCATAATGATAACATTATTGGAAGAATACACAGTCCTTGAATTATGGAACAAATAAGAAATATAAAACCTATTTTAAACATATCCTTTAAATATTCATACGGAGCAAATATTAATGGAGCAATGCCCAAAAGCGATGAAAGACAAGCTTGCACAATAGCCTGACCAGCAGTATCCAAACAATCTTGTAGTTTTTCATTCGGATTCTTTCCTTTACTCTTTGCATACGCGTACGATATATGAGCTGCATAATCTGTACAAAATCCGGTGATCACTATTAAAAAAATTGTCCCAAATGGATGGAATGTAACACCCCATACGGACATATATCCTATAGTTACTACTTCAATACAAGCTATTGTGAGAGCAATACAAAATGCACAAAACACGTTTGGTATGAAAATGAGAAATATCAAAATTACCACGCAAGAACTAACGGCTATTGATTGAGTTGCTGTGGGAACTGCCATAAGGATATAATCAAAGGGTATATATCGATAATTGTAACAATATACCGGGAGATTATATTTATCTATTATATTCCACAGATTGATAAAAATTTCATTTTCTTTCAGCGAATTATCAACTAATTTTGCTTGAATGAAAAATCTGGAAGCTAATATTTTAGTGCCATCGTCACTGAATACAATGTCTTCGTTAAAGCGTTTGGCCCACTTGAATTTAAGAAATACTTTGCGTAAAGCATCGGTGAAGTCTTCGGGTCGACTCAAATTGTATCCTCTGAGAGAAATCCAAAACTGTGGATTTTTAATGGATTTCAGATATAGTCTCAGCCACGATTCCGTGAAATTACTTCCGGCCATATGAGGAGAATTCTCCAGTTCTGTCGTTAATTTCTCTAGATTATTCTGGATGTTTGGATTGGAGTAGTCCAATGATGATGTAACAATTATCTGGACTCTATCTCGATATTGCGAATAGAACGTATTTTCATCGCTAAAGAAGTTTAACATGTAAGAATTGTCGTTATATGCCGTTTTGATACCTGTAGAAGGCTGTATATATTTAGTAAAGTAGATTCCTCCAGCGAGATACAAGAGAAAAATAATAATAATTGCTGCTTTCACAATTGGAAAAGTCAAAATCTTTCCTAAATGTTTTTTATAACAAGTCATTGCTGTGTTATTTTCATTAAGTTTGCTTGAATAACAGCCGTACTTTATAAATCCCAGAATACCTAAAAGAAAAATACAGAAATAATATAAAATTTTTTATCTGTTTTAATAAAATATATCTAAATGTTTAATATAAGTATTTTNTACAAACGAAGGTAAATAAGCAAATTAAACTATTTTAAAGTATTTATAGAAAGTTTAATAGATAGAAATATAGATCCGTATGACGCGATTGGGACGGTAAGATTTACCCTCCGAATGAAGGGGTGGCGACCCCCTTTGTGCGAACAATAAATGTCTAATGAACCATGCCCCTACGCGCGACCCTTCTCGAGATATAGCCCTCCGAAAATTATTCTACGGGTCATGTGACCGCCTGTTTGCCACAATTTACCCTGCGAATGAGCGGGTCGGTGACCCCCCCGAGTGTGGACGAGCGCGCGTTAATTTTTTTTTCGCGCGGTAGGCTCCCTTTTGACCACGATGTCACGTGACCGGAAATGACGTACGCGAATTTTCACGGGCTTATATCTCGCGAAGGGTCGCGAGTAGGGGTATGGTTCCTTTGACTTTATTGTTCGCACAGGGGGCTACAGTTTGGAGGGTTGCCACCCCTTCATTCGGAGGGTAAATCTTACCATTGCGACTTTAACGGAACTGTACAGCATATTGATAAAAACAAAAAAGTCAAAGGAACCGTGCCTCATGGAAATTTGTAAATAACGCCCACTAGGGGGCGTCCCGGGCTACTAGTACTAATATAAATGGACTTTTTGATTCTGATGAAACCGTAAATGGACTTGCTCTATCTAAATTTATGATTAATATATGTTATGAAAATCAAATTATTCAGTTGGTAAGCAGTTAACTATTGATTCTTCATTTTAATGTAGTGATTCCAAAAATGCTTTTTTTTTTATAACTTTCCACCTTGTGGGCACTTGAGGGCCTCTTTTTGCAAGCCCATTATGGGTTCGGCCAGGCCCGCAATGGGACGGCGAGGGACAGGACCCGACATATCAAACGGACTACCCTCCGAAAAATTCTTGGTGATTATTTGATCCTTCCGGACTCGATCCCAGATCCCCCAGAGCTGTATGTTGCCACCTTGACCGCTCCGCCAAAAATACTACTACAAGCCAAATTCAATAAAAAGTCCCGGCTCGCGATTATATTTGACACTTATAAATAATAGGAATAGGCCTACTTATAGTGTTTCTGGAGTATATAAAATATTTATGGCACGACTATCGAAAAGATAGGACGCCACTACTATTACCTCTAAACAGAAACATCTGTTTCTGTTTAGAGTTTTACGTTATATCAACGTTATTGATATAACGTAACATCAATAACGTTGATGTTACGTTATGCAACAATGTGGCACAACAATTTCCTTTTGTAGTATCTTATTATCAACCACTCGCTTACATTATGGATATGTTATAGTTCAGTTTGCGACTGTTTCAATATACAGCTTTATAAAAACGTGAAGGTCTTACTGACTGGGTATTTTGTATTATGGGGGGGGTATTAGTACTGTATTAGTACATAATTATGTATTATGGGTATAATTATGTATTTTGTATTATGTATTGAATGCAAAGGTATGAAAAATTACGGCAAGGGATTTTACTCTAATGAAGTCTTGGTCTAACACTTAAATACAAACCCGTTTTCCATAGAAAATCTTCCAGGAGGTACCTCTCCCCCTTGGCACATCATCCAAGTGAATCAAATCCAATTCTTTTTTCTAAGAAAAATATAAATTCCAACATTTTAAAATACAGATGGCGTGATTTTAGAAAATTATAAAACGGTATTCGATTAAAAGAATTAAAATATTCGAAAGCTTTTGTAGAGAAGTGAAAATTTCCGATTTAAAGATGGGAGATTGTGAATTTGGTATAAAGATTGAAGAGAAAGGCAAAGGCTCAGAATCTGTAGAAATCTTGAACGAAGAAAGAGTTAACGAGGAGGAAGCAATTGGTAACAATACTGCTGTCGTGAAAATTTTTGAAAGATTTGATCCTGACATCAGAATGAAAGTTGAAGCTCTTCACAAATTACAAGTGGATTATCTAATCCAAGAGGCTAAATTCTACGAAGAAGCTTGTAACTTGCAAATTAAATATGCTTCTGTGTACGAAGAATTATATAAAGAAAGATTCAGAATCATAAAGGGAGAAATAAACGAAAAAACTGTTTCGAACGACGAAACTGATAAATCTAAACAACAAAATGGAATACCCGATTTCTGGTTGGGTGCATTTTTGAATTCAAACGTTTTGTATAAATTAATCGATGATGACGATGAAGCCGTCCTTCAGCATCTGAAAGATGTCAGATTAAAATACGAGCAAGAAAATCCATTGAAATTTCGACTCGAATTTCATTTTGAACCTAACAAATATTTTTATAATACGATCCTGACTAAGGATTACGAAATGGAATGTAAGGTTGATTGTAAAGAACCTTGCTCCTTCTCAGGACCAGAGATTGTTAGATGCAAAGGATGCAAAATCGATTGGAAAGAAGGGATGAATATTGTTTTAACCACCATTAAGAAAAAAGTAACGAATGAATTCAGATCGATTCCCTTTTATATAACTAAACTCATTCGAAAAGAATCTTTCTTTAATTTTTTCAATCCTCCTCAGTCTGAAACACCGGAAACTAATGAACAGTTACTAAAGGATTTCGAGATTGGACAGTATTTTAAAGAGAAACTCATACCAAACGCAATTCTTTATTACACAGGAGAAGTTGAGGATAGTAGTGATGAGGATGAGGATGAGGATGACGATGATTCTTCTGATGAAAGCCATGATGAAAATTATAGAAATCATCAACCAAGATCTCGTAAGAGACAAAACTGATGTACTTTTCAAAATTATTTTTGAATATTTATAATAATTAAATTTTTTTTCGTGTTGTTGTTATTCATAAAATTCAGTAAATAAAATATCTTTTCAACATTCCATGTTTGTCTGAGCTTATAAAATAAACAGACATAAACATTAATGAAGGTCGGAAAACGAAGAATGTAAAGACACCAGCCCTTTTTCCGGGTGGCTTGGAGTCCAGAAATTTTCATGGATATGTTAATCCAGATACATTAGACTTCGTCATCACCCGGCCTCCTCCATTATGTGCCAGTCCACCCCGTGTGGCACATAATGGAGCTCCAACCATTATTGCCGAATGGATCAAACCACTAAACGATGTTACCTGGTTGAGGGTTCATGCTCCATCACAAATTAGTCACGTGAAGTTTTTCGAAGTTTTTTCACGTGTCTAACACTTAAATAGGGGACAGTCAGATAGAAAATCCTTCTGGAAGGCACCCCACTTGACAGGCTTGCCAAGAGTTACGTTGCCTTTTAACGTGAGCTTGGCCGAATTCGTAATGATCATTGGAGGCCTTTTACAAGTTCACAGGGCGGAAAGAGAGGGATTTTTTTAGGATTGTCATACGAATTTGTTTTTATAAGCCCATTTACTAATCATGTAAATAAACTGTCTAAAAACTTCCGCAAATATTTTCTAAGTTTACTTTTCTACTTTCCTACACTGATTAAATGGGCTTTGTTCGTGATTAAAGGGATTTATTTCGTTCAATATCTCAGAATGGGGGTAAAGATTAAGTAAAGAAGTTTGGCACGATAGCTTGTGTATAAGGGGAATTGGTGCTATTAAATTTCAGCGGTGAAAGGTCGAAGGGTAAAGAGATAGAAAATGGTCACGTGTTATATCTCGAGTGGGACTTAATGAAAAATTTTTTTTTTAATAAATTAAGCCTTTTGCAATTTTATAGTAATTAAAAATATAGAAGCTTTTTATAACAAAAACTCATAACAGATGGCACCACACACGATTTTATTTCAATATTATTATATTTTATATTTCATATAATATTTTAAAAATAAAATCACATAACAGTCGGAAAAGTTACGCAGTTCGTCGCTAGATTTCTTTTTATTTGTTTATCTTTGCGAAACTCTTAAAACAAGAGACTCTCGAAGCGAATGCTTACATAAAATCTCTGATATAAAGTAGGCAAAATCCTGTAACATTGATTAAATATTGCAAGAAAAGTAATATATTATGTCAGATAATTTTCCTCACATCCTCAATTGTTCTTTGTAATCGAACATAAAACAAAAATTGCCCACTTCCGACATTTTTTCCATATTTTTCTATACTGTTAATGCGATTTCCTTCTTAGCATTACTAGGATAGAGGAGAGAGAAATTTATCTCCTCAATAAATCATTTAAAATTGTTTTTTCTCTTGTCTTATCTAATTTAAATAATATAAATTAAGAATTTTTAAAGAAACTCGCCGAAATTAAAGAGAAGAAAACACAAAGAATGTGTTTTCTTTCTCCTTGATATTTGAGGTTATCGTAAATGTAAAGCCCTCGAAACATTGATTACAAATTATTTATCCTGCTGTGTTTTTTGTGTATTAAGAAAACTATTTTCAATATATACTGGGGTCCTGACTGCTCTTGACAAATTAATTGAGTTAATTCAGAAATTACTTTGTCTATTTGTTCACAGATGGCACCACGGTAACATACGCCATATTGTTCCTGTATCTATAATAATCTACTTTTATTGTAATACAATTTAACAAGAAATTCTTTTCTACTAAAAAAAATTTAATTTTTAAACTCTGGTTTTGATAAATTAAGGAGCAAAATTAATTTATTTTTATATTCTTTTAACAGTAAACTTAATTAATAACAATAATATTTTACTTTCTAATATGTTAACTGTGTACTTTAATTAATAAATTACTATAAACATACTGCATTAACGCAAGCGCATATCTGATTACGGCCAGGCCTCACCTTCTTAGAGGCCTCATCTCACGCTTACTACTTAATTTTTTTTCTTACGTCTTACAAATATTTGTAATGCCTGTAAAGGTATTGAGCAGGGATCTCTTGACTACACATAGGAACGGGCCTCTGAAATATTGCCATAGGCAATATTTAATAGGTCCTAATTAACTTTTTGAGGCCCTCGGCTTACTAGAACAAAAGAAAATAATGTTAAAAATCGTATTGTATTTTATTATAAATGTTAAAATCTGACAAAAACAAAAGGTTCTTATTATAGAATATATGCAATGAAATGACTAATTTTTTGAGGTGCTGTAAATAAAAGGCCCTATTGACTCTATATAGAATAGAGCCATTTAGTTAGCCAGACACAAAAAGGCCCTAAAATTTAGTCTTTTATATTAAAAAAACAAAGACTGTTTTTTGAATGATTTTTTTTTGGTGTGTTATTATCGCTTACAGAGAGGGTAGGCCCACTTTGTAACTGGTTCGGGTCCCTTCTCATATACCAGTAACCAGGAGAATGCGTCAGAGAACGCAAAATTGAATTGTATTATGTAAATATTGTTACATTTCGATCCTTAGAGAAAAGGGTACTCTTAAAACAATGTATAAAAAATTTTTTTCATCAAAAATTTTCACAAAATTTGATAGTTTACATACGAAACAAAAGGACAGGCATACGTACGTACGACTCATTAATATGTCAGTAACGATAATGAAAGGGGAACGTGGTGAAAAAAAACGTAATTAATACGTAACCAGTTTGCATCCTTTTTAAGCCACACTTATTTAAGATTTTATTGTCTTTTGTTTATATTTTTAGACACAGAAAATAAGAATAAGAGCTTAAAAAATAAGTTTTAAAACAATATTTTACAATAAAAAAAAAGGGATTAAAATTAATCTAGAGCTTAATTTCTTGTATTTTTCACAAATATTTATCTCTAAAATGAATTTTATGAAGGAGTAATTAAATAAATGATTAAATTTTATAGTTTTTCCCCCTGTAATTAACAGTTTTGAGTCTATTTAATGAAGAAAATGCAGTTAACTCGAATGTCTATCCGTCGAATGACTCAGTATTATGTAACTTTTGTTGTAATGTCAATTTGATTTGTGTACCGCAGTGTTTGCCAATTACAAATGGCTTTAAAAAGCACGTTTAGTTTATAAATTGTTGGAAAACTGTCGACATTTTACTGTCATTTCTTCCATGTAGGTCATACCATTACATCTGTATATATTGTAATTATCCAGTTTTATAATATGACAGTAATGTGAAGGATCTATAAACAATCGCCATTGTTTCTGGATTAAATTATATATTCTTTAATAAATACATTTTATTAAAAATCTAATAAAATCGTGGCATAATTAAGTAATTGTATTTTACAGTAATTTATATTCGTGGAACGTACGTTTCGTGTTATCTGGCGCCATGTTTGTTTGGACGAGATAGGCGCGTAGTCGCGTCGCGTGCTTTATATAGACACAATTCTGTCTTTCTGGCGATTTATTCTTTTATTTTTTCTTCATAAAAATCATCAAAATATTTTAAAAACCTGATTAAATAAAGAGAATATAAATAAATAAATAAATAAACGCGTGTGATTAAGTAGGCTGCATTCTATACGTCGTTCGCTTGCGCTAGGTAAACAGGCTAATCTTGTTTCGTGAATGCTAATTATTATAGAATTTNAAAGCGTTTGTCTTATCCTTACAACCTTTCCTCCCCTCGTTACCATGACATGATCAGTTGTCGTTGCCTTACAGTAAAGCCTTTATCAATGAGAATCTGGAAATAGTACCAGAGATGTTTCTGAGTATTGTGGGAAAGACACCTTTACTAATGCAATGTTTTCAATAAGCACAGGAAGCTAAAACTCTCTTATTGCAGAACCGCCAAATAAACTCAAGATATATAGGATCTCCCATTAATAGTGCTGGATTTAATTGTGGAATTAAATACATCATTTATTGAACAACTGTGAATGTTTTTAATTCAATATAAAGTAAAATTACAACCCATTTCAGTGGTAAGTCATTTTTGTCTGTGGAAGATAGTGTCTCACAACTCTGGTGACACGCACTCTTTGCACAAAATTGCTTATGACACTGCCACATAATTGTAGCCTGATTCCGCCAATAATGCATGAATCTCCGTCTTGAGGTCAGGAATTGTTTGTGAGTTGTTAGAAACCGCGTGACATTTTGAAGTTTGCAATTCATACAGAATGCCAGTGGCATGCAATTTACATCCAGCATTATTAATGTGGCATATTATTTATTTTGCAGACGTCCACATAACTTTGCTACAATTTATTTTGAGAAGAAACTACGATACAGTTAAAATGTGTATTGTTTGTGAACAGACCACACTGTTTATTTGTTAATAAGATTCACATTGTTGTGATTTATTTGGAAAACATTTGAGTAAGCCATATTGTTATCTATTAATATATATATATATATATCTTAAAATATGTTAGTGCAATTACTTTTGGATAAAAAGTGATTATTATATAACTAATAAAAATCTCAGATATGAGTACAAATGTTATTTTGTAAACACTGATGTATAAAATGAGTAGATTAATTTTATAAATGTATTAAATTTTCACCATGTTATATTTGTATATTTGATGCTAGATATTTTCCAGATAATGGAAAGAGTTATATCATTTCAAATATTCTAATTATTCTATAATAAAAGAAATTCTTTTGATGAAGAATATTATTTTTGTGATGCATTCATCATATCTCAAATTTCCGAGATGGTTATTTAAAAATAATTTTTACATTTAAAAAGTATATGACGCAACCAAATGTTGCGTTATCGTAAACTTTAATTAAAAGAATCCTGTTCCAGTTTATATTTTTCATTTTGTAAATTTGTAATGCTTTACATATATTTAATAGGTGTTAATAGTTATAAATACTTCCATTTGATGTTTAAAGAAAATAAATGTAAGTTGTTANTTTCAAATTAACTAAAGAAATTACCTCACTTCTCTTTAGCAATTTGATACACCGAAGTGTCTTTTTTATTTATTTATTTATTTATTGTGCACTAGAAAAGAAGAATAAATTAGTAAAAATAATTCTTTAAGGTTTTCCAAGAAAACTTTTTCGGGTCGA